TTTGAATGCGTGACCAAAATTTTTCCTACAAGGAGATTGGTATGATATGTACATTACTTAAAAATCTTGGTGTAAGAAGTTCTCAAAAAGAGTTCCTTTTAGTGTGGTTTGGACCTCTTCCCAATTCTGTACATGTTGTGACAATGAACCTCGATGAATCTTCACTTGCCGACTCTTTAACTCACGTTTTGGTACCTTTAGAAACTCCTGTACATCGTCTAGTCTCTGCATTTTAAAACTCAACTCAGGACAAATAAGAAGAGAACAACAATCAATGAGTGAAACTAGTTGAAAAAGAAAAGATGTAATTAATCACCGTGCGGTTCTTGACAACATCTTCGTAGTAGATAAGTATATGGCGAGTGGTATTAAAGTAAGCCAATGCTTTCAAAGTAATTTCTTGAACCTGTTTGAGATCGGTTACCAAAAGTGTTGTGTTGATCATTGGCTTATAACCCGCTAATATCTCAGCCTCTTTGGGCGAATGGACGTGAGATTTGTGAGTCCCGTTTAATAGCTTAGCATCTCTGTCATAAGAGTTTGCGAGTACTGATATCATGCGCCGCAGTATGTTTCTTCTGAAGAGGAAAATTGCAGAGACGCCTCGGGTTTTAAAGTATTCTACTATTTCTTCATGATGTTTCATCAAACCCTACAAGGTTCACATTACGAAATCCATCAAAAGATATAGTAATTACATCCAAAAATCCATGTTTTCAGTTTATATAGGACTTGGCACTTTGGCAGTACTACATTAAACAGAGGTTACCAATTAACAGAGAAACTTCAGTTCGTCCAATATCAAATCACACCCTCCTTACTATGTCAAGAAATCATCCAAACCATAATTGTTTAAATGTTAAGTTCCACAGTTGATTCAGGCCACTTTCTTAAATTTCAACAACCGTAAAGACGTTTACTAGTCCAAACATGTCTCTTTCACAAATGATAGTGATTCAGAAATTCTGATAGTTTTGTTTTCTAAAGCAAACACATCTCTATTCAGAATTGAAGACAAACCATTGCAAAAACAGAACCAGATCCTATCACCTTGAATCAACTCACAAGTAGTTAGTTGTAAGCAACAGTGACCAATAGACAAGGATGAAATGTAGCACAATCTCTTTATGCAAGCACTCGAATGGAAACAGAGCAGAATCGAAACATAAAAGTAAACGTCACAATGTCCGGAAAATATCAGTGACTTTGAAAAAACTTTACCTGATTAAGCATCCATTTGAAGCCAACAGCGGAAGTGCACTCATTCTTAGAGGCACTACTCAACCAATCTAGATTATAGACTTTGTCAAGTGTCTCAAAAATGGTCGAAACATTAGCCCTCCTATCTTTTACCGAAAAGATCTCTCCATTCGAGCTTATGTTGGTATGATTGTTAAGTAAAGTCTCAAACCAGCCACTACCAGATCTCTGCATCGAGAGAATCGCAAAATATCTAACCGGTTGGCAAGAACATTCATCCCTAAAAACCATTTCAAAACCCACTAATCAATATAAGAAAATCATAAAGGCTCAAACTTTTTATCTAGTCTCTCTCTTTAGTTACCTGTTATATGTCTTTGGTTTAGGGTAATGCACAAATGGAATGTCCCATGGTTCAATGTTAGGCTCAGGACAAGGTCTCTCAAAGACTTCAACGTTCAAGAAACCATAGTTAATGGGACTGACTCCTATTTGTTTCAGACAAATCGAGCAAATGTACACAGCGCAAACCATTACAAAGAGAAGAACAACCATTCTTAATACAAGTGAAGATTTTTTAGGAAGCTTCAAGACAAAACTATCCTGC